GCTTCATGAACTTGTATCTGGAGATTTTTAGCAAGGCCTGGGAAATTTTCTTCTATTATATCTTCAAATAGCTTGTCTAACCCTTGAGTGTTTTCTTCTTCCCCTTCTGGTAACCCTATGACCCTCACATTAGGTTTCTTCACATAATCCCACATCTCTTGTAGGCTTTGCTCTTTTCTCTTGTTTCTCTGCTCTATCTCTGTGACTGATTTATTTAATTGGAAGGTGTTATCATCAATCTCTGAGATTCTTTCTTCTGTTTGATCTACCCTGTTCTTGAGGCTTTCCACTGTGTTTTGTAGTTCTCTGAATTGATTCTTCATTTCCAGGAGTTTGGTTAGACTTTTCTCCATTGTTTCAATTTCTTTAGTGAATTTGTGTTCCAGGTCCTGGAATCTTTTTGCGTTTTCTTTGTGTTGGTTATCCAGTTGTTCTTGCAAGTCATTGAATTTTCTTATGATCCATGTATGAAATTCCTCTTCTGTCATTTTAGTGGTCTGATTTTGGTTGGTGTCCATTTCTAAGGGGTTGGTGCTCCTCTTTGGGGGTGTGCTTTCTGTTTGGTTCTTCATATTTCCAGAGTTCCTTCGCTGATTTCTTCCCATCTGGATCAGTTGTTGCTTCTTGCCTTTAGGTTTTTGTTTGAATAATGGCACACCCTGTTTAGTCTCTGAGCCAGTGGGTGGTGTTTGTGGGTGAGATTCTACCACACCCTCTATGATGAGTCAGTAGGTGCCGTGAAAAGGGTGTGCAGAATGTCCTCCCTGTCAGTAGGTGGCACGTGCTCAGAGGAACAGGCTACACTGTTGTTTTTGGGTCTTGTATCCAGTTCTTGTTCCTCTGGAGAGGCAGTCTGTTGCCTCAGGTGGTGGGTGGGGCCCTCCCTGGGACTTCCAGGTGTGTCCTTATTCTCCACTTCAGTGAAGGCTGGTCTTGGAGTGAGTCTGGGTGGAGTTGGGTTGGGTAAGCCTGCCCTCAGGCACCACAAATGCTGTTAGCAGGGATCAAAGTTCTGTTCTCTGCTTTAGGGAAAAGCTGTCAAGGAGGGGTTGGAATGGCCCCGCTCAGTCAGAAAGTCTGCCTGTAGGGGTGGGCCGTCCACCCTCCCCAACTCCGCAGCTACTCCTGGGCCTCTGCCAGCAGGCCAGACCTCCTGCCACCAGGCCTCCCCTGGCTGTAAGGCCGGCCGGGAGGTTCCCTGCACAGGAATGCCACCTGGGCTGGGCACACAGCCTCCCTTTGGGAGGAGGGTTGCCCTCAAGGACACTGATCTGCCCCTGAAGGCACACACACCTCAGTAGGCTGTTCACAAATATCCCTTCTGTGCCACAGGCAATGTGAGACCTGGGTGCACGGGATCTGGTCTGCAGGTCTGACCTCTGGGCCCTGGAGTTCAATCCCTAACCCCACCAGGGTGAGGAGTGCCAGTCCCAATTCACCCACGGGGAGTCCAAGCTGGGTTGATGTCTCTCAGCCTCAGCGTCTGCTCCATTCTTCTGGGATCACCAGGTCGGCAGCACCTGGGAGGGCTGGCAGGTTGGGGGCTCACCGTTTGAGTTCCCTTAGTCAGCTGTAGGGCTCCAAAAGGGAAGGTCCTGTTCCCTGGAGGTACCTCCGGCTGGTGGCTATATTGTCTCTCTCGGCAGCCGCAGATAGGGAAGGGGGAGGAGAGAATGAGGCAATATGGCGCCTGCCGTGTGGCTCAGGTCTGTGCACAGGGAGGTGCCCCGAGGGGGTTGGGATCCTGGTGCCGCATCTGCTACTGGCTTACCGCTCACTGGTGGTGGCCGTCTCTGGGCTGGTGTCCGCAGGTCTCTCCAACCACTGGGGAGCCCACCAGCAGTCTGAGATGCAAGGAAGGGGAGAGTTAACCGCTCCACCTACCCTTGCCATGGTCTCCAGGCTACTCGGGAGGTCTCTGCTTCCAGTTCTCCTCCGCAACCTCCTCCCATGGAGTCTCCCGTGGTCGCAGGTACCCCTCCTTCCAACCTCCGTCCGATGTATGCTCGTCTGCTTGCTTCTTTCTTCTAATTTCTCCTAGAATCTGTCTTTTCTGCAGAGACACTCTGTCTGGTGGTGTTTCTTGCTTGCAATCTTGCTCTGACCCCCCTGGAAATGATCATTAAAGAAGGCATCACATTTAGAGGAACGTGTTATTAATCCAAGGCAATATACCGTGTGTGGTCCTGTGTAGATAGAATCAGATACAATATGATCAGTGTAAGGAGGGATTGCACAGAACATCTCGGGAGGAGGTGTCCCAGCCTGGCGCTTATGACCCCTCAGGGATCTGCGGATCACCTTTTATAGTCTGTTAATTCCTTGAAATTGTGAGCAAAATTGTGTGTTTTGTTTTAAGGAGGGGGAAGAGATATACATATAAGAAAGGAAGATCTACAATTTTATTAGATTCTCAATGTGACCCCAAGAAAGGGGTTAAGATCTGATCCTCCTTGCTTTACTGATGGGGACACTGTGGGCCACAGACAAGAAATGCCCTCACGGAGGAAACCAAGCTTCTTGATGGCAACCCTTGGTCTAAAGCTCTTTGCACTAGGCCAGTATCCCAGACATACCTGGCCACAGCAGTCACATGGGACAACTATCAAAAACTCAGATGTCATGGGGGTCTCCAGAGCCCCTCTGCCCTATGAATTCTGCAGTAGGATGGTGCATTGTGGACCTCAGGTTGGAGTGAGGTGGCCTGGAGACCTCTTGGGCCCAGGGCAAGGCAAGAGCTGGGGCAGAGAGCAATTCCACAAGTGTGTCCCAGAGCTCTGCATTGTCCCTCTGTGCCATGAAGCTGGACAAGGAAAAACAGGAGCAAAACTTGCGAGTCCCAGGACATCAAAGCTCTATCGAAAGCCTGCAGCAATCTGCCAAGCTCCGGAAACAGAAGGGGATCACCCTGGGATATCCCCAGGCCAGCGTGGGGCTTACCCCGGGGTTCTCTTTGGGAGGGTGTTGAGCCAAACCACCTCTGCTGTTCAAGACTCTGCAGCTCAGTTTCAGGAACAAGTGTACTTGCGGCCTCTCTTGCAGGAGCGGGTGGAAGAAGCTGACCACAACACAATCTTTAGGAGATACGCAAAGCAGGGACTTTGCGCAGGCTGGGAATAGAAAGCTAATGGGTACTGAGAACTCAGCGAGAAGCAACCTGGGAACGTGTTTCCGCGGTGCCCAAAACCCACACTGCAGCAGATCAGCCACGCTGGCCAGCAGCTGGGGCTGGGGAGGATGTGGTCCCAGTGCGGTGCTGTAACCAGAGCCAGAGGGCAAAGGAGCAAGCGGTGACTATTTGTGACAACAGGATTTTGAGGCTGCTGGGTCTCCTTTCCCTGGGAAACCAACATCCTTTCTTGGGGCCCCAGTGCCCCGTTTTGGTCCCCAGGCTACGGGGGCCCTGACTTCACTACACTGTACTCCCTCACTTTCCCTCACCTCTGTCACCATGCTAGGGGGCCTTGACTTCACCATACTGTACTCCTTGGCCCCTTTCCCTCACCTCCGTCACCATGCTCAGTGCTCCCATGCACTCAGACTGAGGTGCTGGCCCTTCCCAGGAATGGGGGCAGAAAAGAGGAGAACCTGGGGAGAGAACCCTAGAGTTTGTGCAGGGCTCTGGGGATTACATTCTTCATTACCGAGAAAGGATTTGGGAACACAAAGGGTGGGGGCACGGAGTCTGGGGGGACCTGGCTGGAGGGAAGGTGAAGTTCAATGATGCTCTTGATTTTAATCTTCATATCATTCATCACATTTTTCTTACAGAAGCCTGGGACAGGCCGGGCGCTGTGGCTCACGCCTGTAATCCTAGCTCTTGGGAGGCCGAGGCGGGCGGATTGCTCAAGGTCAGGAGTTCAAAACCAGCCTGAGCGAGACCCCGTCTCTACTATAAATAGAAAGAAATTAATTGGCCAACTGATATATATATAAAAAATTAGCCGGGCATGGTGGCACATGCCTGTAGTCCCAGCTACTTGGGAGGCTGAGGCAGAAGGATCACTCGAGCCCAGGAGTTTGAGGTTGCTGTGAGCTAGGCTGACGCCACGGCACTCACTCTAGCCTGGGCAACAAAGCGAGACTCTGTCTCAAAAAAAAAAAAAAAAAAAAAGAAGAAGCCTGGGACAGAGACACATACACACACACACACGAACACTCAGATGCCCGTTCCCTTCCCCTACATATTATGATTCCATAGCCCTTAGGGTAAGGCCTAGGAATTTGGATGTGTAACAAGCTCCCCACATGGTTGTTTTGACCAGCAAATTTGGGAAACATTGTGCAGTCATTCCTCGCTGAACCATGGGGATGTGTTCTGAGAAACTCGTCGTTACGTGATTTCATTGTTGTGCCAACATCATAGAGTGAGCTTACACAAACCTGGATGGGACAATCTACTACACACACAGGCTACTACCGTTCCTAGGCTACAAACCTGGGCAGCATGCTACTGTGCTGAATACTGTAGGCAATGGTAACACCCTAGTAAGTATTTGTGTATCTAAACACATATAAACATAGAAAAGGTACAGGAAAAATATGGTATAAAAGATTAAAAATGGTACACTTATATAGGGCACTTACCATGAATGGAGCTTGCAGGACTGGAAGTTGCTCTGGGTAAGGCAGGGAGTGAGAGGTGAGCGAAGGTGAAGGCCTTGGACATCACTTGCACTACTGCAGACTTTATAAACACTGGACACTTGGGCTACACTAAATTTATTTTAAAATATTTTTCTTTCCTCAATAATAAATTAACCTTAGCTTACTGTAACTTTTTAACTTTATAAACGTTTTCAATATATTTTTTTAACTTTTTGACTTGTAATAACACTTAGCTTAAAACACAAACACATTGTATGGATGTACAAAAATAATTTCTTTATATCTTTATTCTGTAAGATTTTTTTCTGCTTTTAAAAATGTTTTATTTTTTCTTTATTTTTTAAACGTTTTTTTGTGAAAAACTAAGACATAAATACACACATTAGCCTAGGCCTACACAGGTCAGGATCATCAATATCACTGTCTTCTAACGCCACATCTTGTCCCACTGGAAGGTCTTTAGGTGCAATAACAGGCATGAAGCTGTCATCTCCTATGACAACAATGCCTTCTTCTGGAACACCTCCTGAAGGACCTGCCTGAGGCTGTTTTACAGCTCACTTCTCTTTTTAAAGAAAATATGAATAGGATGCAAGATCAAGGTAGAGTCTAAAAAACAAAGAAAGAAATAAAATATGAGTGGGAGTAGACTCTAAAATAATAATAAATAATATAATAAATACACAAACCAGTAACCTAGTTATTCTTCATCACTATTGAGTATTATGTGCGTACATAATTGTGTCATGCTTTTATATGACTGACAGCACAGGAGGTTTGTTCACACCGGCATCACCACCAACGTGAGCAACAACATCACAATGGCTACAATGGCACTAAGTGATAGGAATTTTTCAGCTCTGTGATAATGGGATGAGCATCTGTCGTTGGTCCATCGCTGACGGAAACGTTGTTATACAGTGCATGACTGCTAAGCGAATGCGCTCACTATTTAACCCGTCAGGCCAGACCTTAGGAGGCAGTGCCCCCCTTCCATCCAGTCCTCCACGTGGGGATGTGGGAGCATCCAGGAACGTCGTTCTCGACGTCGTGTGAACGCCTTTTCCACATGCTATGGAAACCCCAAAGCCTCCCCAAGAGAAGGGATTTAAAAAATCACATAGGTACACACAGACGGCAGATTGGGATGGAGAGGGAGGTGAAGAGGAAAGGAGGGAAGAGAGGAGGGAAGGAAATACACAACTATTGAGTGTTGAGCATCTAATTTGTGTCAGACACTGTGCTGGGCACCTTACAAATATTATTTCATTTAAGGACAGACAAATCCAGTGATTTTGCAGAGATGACAGACTCCCCTACCACTCTTTCTTTCTCTCTTACATTTCTCAGAAAAGCACAGAAGGGCGCGGGCTACCCCACAGGCCACCAGACAGGCATGGGATTGCCTTCTGGAGGTGTGTGTCTGTGACCCAGGACGCCACGTGCTACAAGAGCAGCCACCCACTTACCAGGAGCCGATTTCTTGGGACCAAGCCCTTTACAGTGAGAAGCAGCTTATCCCCGACGTGAGGCACAGTGGAGAGACGGGCTGAGTGGCTGCGAGTCTGACAGTGCTTAGACTAGGACACTTATCCAGAGTCCTGGTGAGGACACGGCATGTTGCTTTCCTCCTTTAACTGCACCTGAGGTAAAATGGCCAAACATTCTTAAATTCCTGGGTGCGGGGATCTGTTGTTTCTGCTATTTATGATACTTGCTCGGGGGCTTGCTGCCCACAACGGCCCCAGCAAAACGTTTAAGACATTGGTTCTAAGCCCAGCTGAACATCAGCATCACGTGCAGAGCTTTTAGCAAGTTCTGCTGCCTGGCCTGCATCCCAGACTGACTGAAACAGACTCTCCGGGGAGAGTGGGAGAGGATGCTGTCTCTGTTTTCTAAAAGCCCCCTCCGGAGTTTTCAGTGTGCAGCAGGGTTGAGAACCACTGTGGTGGTGACAGCTCCACAACGGTGGGCAGTGATCCTTGTCACTGGTGTTTATGCTCTTGTGCGTACTCTCTTTCAGCGACAAATAGGCCTGACCTGCGTGGCCAAGAGGATGCTCAGGAGTGATGGTTTGTGAGTTCCGAGGCTAAGCCATCAAAACACTGCAACTTCCACCTTGACCTGCTCTGGAGGAAGCCAGGTGCCATGCCATGAACACACCCAAGGGCCCTGTGGAGAGGCCTGTGTGGAAAGAAACTAAGTTCTCCCACCATCAGCCAGAGCACTGTCTGACTGACCAAGTGAGCCACCTTGGAAACAGATCCTTCAGCCTGCAAAAAATAGATCCTGCAACTCTGGCTGACAGCTAACTGCAGTTCGTGAGAGATTTTGACCCAGAACAACCCAGCAGGGCACTCCCAAATTCCTGATCCACAGAAACTGGAAGAGATTTTAAATATATATGTTGCTTTAAGCTTACTGTCAGCAAACTACCACGTGCAGGCAAATTCTGGCCCAATGCCTGTTTTTGTAAATACAGTTTTACTGGAACACAGCCATACTTATTTGTTTACATATTGTCTATGGCTGCTTTCAATGTCAACAGCAAAGGTGAGCCTAAAATATTTACTAGCTGGCCCTTTACAGAAAAAGTTTGCCAATCCCTGTTTTAAGTCATTAAGTGTTGGGGGTTGTTTATAACACAATAGCTAACACAACTTTAGAAAGAACATAAAGACCAGAAAATGAAAAAAAAAATAAATAAATAAATAAAAAAATAAAGACCAGAAAATGGCGTGGGTAAGGCCATTTGGGGAATGGATCTCATGAGGATTTCTATTAATAAAGCCAGCAGTAACTCTATACATGTCATTTTTGAAAGAAGGAAGGCTCTCTTTGCAGAAAAAATGCTAGGAAGATTCTGGTTTTGTGCTTAGTAGCCTTAAATTGAGAGCTTTGAGCCTACCCAGTAACAGGTGAAGAAATGATAAGAATTTTGTATAGGCTATTTTGATAAGTAAAGATAACTAATCCTTACTGGTCATTTCTAAAAAGTGTCTTGACTGTGAACATTTAGCCCATTAGCCAGAGAGTTTCTAAATCTCCCCTTCCCTGAGTGCTTTGTGATCAAGGTTTGTATCAGTTAGGATACTTTTGGTTGCAGGTAAGAGAAAATCCAATACAAATTTGTATAAATATCAAGGAAATTTATAGAGTTACATAAGTAATCCAAAGGAAGATCAGGTTCAGGCACAGTATAATCTGGGACTTCAGTTAGATGTTTCTGTAATTCTATTAGTTCTGCCTTCTCTGTGTGATGGATTTGTCCTCATCCTGGTTTTCCATATTATAGCAAAATTGTTATACAAGATTTAGGCATTCATTTGAACACCACACTATCTAAAGCAAAAGAAAACACCTGTGTCCCAGGTGTCAACTTTTGTCAATAAAAGTCCTGACAGCAATTCTGACTAGTCCTACTTAGGACACATGATTACTTGTGATAGGAATTAATCTATGGCCAGGGGATGCAATGCCCTGATTGGGCTCAGGCTATGTCACATCATGGATTCTGCAACTCCTAAAATCATATGAATCCCTGAAATAGTTGAGCAGGTTATGCATCAGTAACAACCTCTAAATCTTAGAAGCTTAGTACAACAAAACTTTATTTCTTCCTTACATAAAGTCCACTGAGATTCAGGATGACTTTGCAGGGCAGCTGTTCTCCACAAGTTGGCTCAGTGATCTAGGCTGAACATGTGGCCCCCCTAAACCAACACAAGTTTCATCGTGGCAGGCGAGGAGAGAGCTTGGAGATCCATGCCCCAGTCCTGTAAGCTTCCACCTAGAAATGACATGTTACTGCTGTGCAGATTTCATTAGCCAAAGCAAGTCCTATGTCTGTGCCTAACCTCTAGAAGGCAATAAAGCACAATCCTCCCGTGTGTCCCAAAGGAAAAGAGACAAGGAAATACTGATGAAAAGCACTAACATCCACCACAATCCAAACAGGATATTAGGATGGAAGAAGGAAAAAGCGATAGTGGGAGGCAACAGACAGGTATATTCTTCAAGCCTCATTTAAGAAATAAAGATTTTTGTTTGGCCAGCATTGCTGCCCTGCTTTCACATGGAGAACATATTTTTGGTTAAGTGGGGCCCACCCTCCTCCTGTACCACAGCCACAGAAGTGGTCGCAAGATCCAAGCCCAGCCAATCAGAGTGTCCTATTTCCCTGGCCATTGTGATTGTTTCAGGAATGAGCATGTGACCCAGGCTGGGCCAATCAAAACAGTTCTTATAATTTTCCCCCACATTAATTATTAGGAAAAAAGATCTATCCTCTCTCTGATGTCCAAAGTGGTAAAGTAGGGCCTGTCTTAAATTTGAGACTGTGTCTCAAATAAATAAATATTATTGAGATATTTTATATTCCCTTTTTTCTTTTTGCCCAGACTTCACAATATATTCCTTTTTTTTTTAACCCTAAACCTTTGAAGCCATGTGCGTATTACAGCATGTCTCAAGTCAAACTAGGCACATTTCAAGTACTCAGAGATGCCACATGAGCCTGGTGGTTACCATAGTGGACAGTGCAGATCTAGAAACTCAATGATGCCACCAGGTCTCCATCTCTCTATAGATACTCTCCATTTGTTGGGCAAGGTGCCACCAGCAGCCCTAGATTTGTACTTTAGCAGTTCAGTCTCCAACTCAACTCTTCTTTTCTCTCTCTCTCTCTTTTTTTTTGACAGAGTTTCGCTCTGTTACCCGAACTAGAGTGCAGTGGCATCATCATAGCTCATTGCAACCTCAAACTCCTAAACTCCTGGGTGCAAGCAAATTCTCCTGCCTCAGCCTCCTGAGCAGCTGGGACTACAGGCAGGCACCCGCTAATTTTCCTTCCCTTTCCCTTTCCTCCTACCCTCCCCTTCCCTGCCCTCCCCTCCCTTCCCTTCCCTTTCTCTTTCCCTTCCCTTCCATTCTCTTTCCTTTTCCCTTCCCTTCCCTTTCTGAGATGGGGTCTAGCTCTTGCTCAGGCTGGCCTCAAGCTCCTGACCTCAAGCAATCATCCCACCTGGGCCTCCCAAAGTGCTAGGGTTACAGGCATGAGCTACCACACCCCGCCTGTTTATGTTGATTATATACTGAAATGATAATATCTCAGATATATTAGGTTAAAGAAAATATATTATTAAAATTAACTTCTTTTGTTTCTTTTCACCTTTTTTTAATGTGACTACTAGAAAATTTCAAATTACATATGAGGCTTGCCTGACATTTCTATTAGCCAGCATTGCCCTGGACTAAGTCATGCCTCAAGTCAGCTGTGCCCTGCGCTTTCAAGCTGCATGAGTTAATGCGGTCGCTCTTTTTTCCCCTCTTAAGTTAATTGAGTTGAGTCTCTCTTCTTTTCACCCTAGAGTCCTGAAAAACAGGTGCCTCCTGAGAATTTCAAAGAGCTAAAATTGCCCCATGTACCTCTCTTATGGGAAAATGGCAATGAGAGTTCAAAAAAGAGAATACTTGAATTTTTGTCTTCTTAGTAACTTTTTAAAACAAATTCTGAGTTGTAATCTATGGAAAGTTTTTTGAAAATTTTGGATCAATACAACTCACACTCTGGATGAGTTCAATCTCAAGTTCAGATGTGAACTCAGAGGGCATAGGATGGGGGAAGGAGGACAAGGAGAGGAAGCTGTGGTAGGTGGGGCTAGGGTTAGAGAACTAACCAGAGGTTGAGGAAGTCCCTCAAGGGAGTGGCCAGTGGTTCAGCTGAGAGTGTTTAATGGGGCATGGCAAACTTAGGAGCAATGAAATGAATTTGGGCTTTGGAGTCAGCAGGGCTGAGTTTGAATGTTAACACTTGCTGTGCTTTATACATGTGGTTTTAGGCCGTCATTTGCTCTCCTCTGAAACATTTGCAAAGTGGGAAATATACTATCCTAATGTGGATTACTGTAAGGATCAGTAGCAATATGCTCCTCATGGGCTTGCACAGTGAGCAGTCACTAAATAGTGGCTTATCATGATTACTATTCTAGGCTAGGATCCACAGCCAAGCACGTCCAATCAGATGACTAGAACAAGGCAGTACACATTTCTAGGAAAGGGCAATGCTTGAGACATCATTGGGAGGGTATTCATCTGTTTTGGATTAGAAATCCAGCTAGTTGCTGGGGGTCAGAGGCACTGTTCTTAAAGGGACCAGCAATGAAAAGTCTACCACACAAGGTCTGCCAAGAAAGGGGCTCAACTCCTGTGAACCAGATGCTGATGATTGTTAGTATTGGATGGTGGTGAAAAGTCAGTCTTGCTGGGTTCAAATTCCAGTGTTGTCACTTACTGTGTAAACTCGTGCAAGTTACTTGATCTTTTTAGTTTCATTCCCTATATCTGTAAAACAGGAATAGGCACCTCACTGAGACATTGGGAGGATTAAATAAGATATTACATATAAAATGCTCAGCAATGTCTAGAACAGAATGTTAGTTATTGTTATTATTATTGACATTCAAGCAGAATAATATGTTCACTTATAACTTGATTCTTGATGTTTTCTAAGACATTTCCCTGCCAGAGCTACATATCTTTTTAACAATCAATATGCACTAAAAGGCAGAGAAAAGCTTGACAGTATCAGATTGCAGAACATTGAGAAGTCCTTGGCAGTATCACAGCTCTCCAAACATCTAGGTGCCCCGCTCACTCAAATGCTGTGTTTTGACATCTGGAAGCCTTTGAGCATTTCTAGGCAGAGTCCATGTCCCTAATTTTTAGGGAATCTTAGAGACAGAAAGTGTGTCTGGGATAGACTTGATTTTCCACTCTCCAAACAAGCAGTACCTAAAAGCAGTGTGTGCTCAGCATGTCCAGAGAGGCAGCCAGAGTCAGAGAACTTGAAGTTGTGGACCTGACTCTCTGAAGAATGCAAGTTCTCCCACTACCATGCTATTCCTGGGAGGCCAGGTTGGAGTTCTCCATGTTCCTCAATCCTTTATGGAAGGGTCATCTTTAAGGGCAAGACAGAAGTTTTCTGGGGAAATAACTCCAGAATGAATCCAAGTTATATCATGGTGAATGCTATAGTTTGGATGTTTGCCCCACAAACCTCATGTTGAAATTTGATCCCTGGTATTGGAGGTGGGGCCTGATGGGAGGTGTCTGGGTCCTGGATCCCTAATGAATAGATTAATGCCCTCCCTAAGGGGGTGAGTCTCTCTTCCATTTTCACAATGGGATCTCTGCACACACCAGCTTCCCTTCGCCTCCTACCATGAGTGGAAACAGCCTGAACCTTTCATCAGATGCCCAATCTTCCTGCCAGCAGAATGATGAGCCAAATAAACATTTTTTCTTTACAAATTACTCAGTCATAGGTTTATATTATAGCAATGCAAAATGCACCAAGACAGTCAATTATTACAAATCTCTCTTTGCCAGTGTTGGGGACTGGCTTAACACAGTACAGGGATGTTTGCCATATTCTGGTAAAAAATTGGTGATACACAAAAGCCAAAGTTTAGGTTCTTGGTGTGAGATGCTCACATAATGTAGAACTATACACAGAAGATGATTTCCATTTATGGGATCAAATCATTTCAGCAACTGTCTTTCTGAAACCACTGACAACAGTGCTAGTTAAAGCTGTTGCTTGGTAACATGTTATTCTTTACTTCATAGTTCTTCTTGTACTTTCCCTTCCTCTTTTTCTTCTTCCTCTTCTTCTAGTAGGGTTAATAGGTATTTAACAATAGGCTAATATGCTTATTGAAGGGTAAACCAAAAGCATCGCCTTTAAAATCTTCCTAAACACTCAAACCTCATACCATTTTTCATAAATGAGCCATGTAATTTGTGTGACCATTCATAGTTACTAAACAGAAGAAGCCTTTGGATCTCATTTTGATGGTTCTGATGTTTGGGGTATACATCAAACATGAAACCAATCTGATGAATGCATAACATTATGCCTTATATATTGTTACGTGTTATAGATCCTAATTGAATGTAATTTTCCAGTGTGGTTTCCTATAGCATCTGCAACTGTTCCTTCACGTGCCGTAATTATTACTATATACCTAGATGATGCTACTAAACCCCCCATTATAAGTTCCTTTGAAGTTATCTTCCATGCCACCCAAGAGTAATGATGAATTTTTCCTGAACCCATATACATTCATCTCATGCTTGTCCACAATGGCATCCATTGTGCAGCAGGCATTTGTTACTTACTCTGAGTGCAAGCATTTGAGTGGCCAAATCCATGTCCCCACTCCTGACACATCCTCCTTTCTGCTCTGTGTGCCGCCATATATTCCAAACCTTGATGGATTGTAATCTATACACCCCGCCCCCAGTCACAGAGATGGCACAGGAATGGGTACTTGCCCTTGAGACTTAATGCAGAATGGTTACCGGAACACTTGTGAAGAGAAGACATCTTTCCTCAGGGTACCTGAGAGACCGGATCATAAACCCTGGAAAGGCCATTTTACCTCTGAGTGGGAAGAGACTGAATGAAATGAACACAGAGAGAGCAGAGCCAAGGGCAGATATGGAGGGACAACAAATCTCAATGACAGCACTAGAGCCCCTAAGCCCCCGAAAATCTCCCTCTGGACATGTGGTTACATGTACTAATAGTCAAACCTATTTTCTTTTTTTTGCAGCAGCAGCAGCAGGGTGGGGGTGGGGGGACAGGGTCTTGCTCTGTTGCCTAGGCTAGAGTGCAGTGGTGTCATCATAGAATCCATGTCCCCAGTCCCAACACACCCTCCTTTCTGCTCTATGTGCCACCTGGGCTCAGGCGATCCTCCTGCTTCAGCTTCCCGAATAGCATGCACCACCACACCTGGCTAATTTTTTTTTTTTTTTTTTTTGTAGAGACAGGGATCTCACTATATTGTTTAGGCTGGTCTCGAATGCTTGGCCTTGAGCAATCTTCCCACCTTGGCCTCCCAAAGTGCCAGGACTACAGGTGTGAGGCACCACACCCAGTCCTTTTTTTAATTAAGTCAATTTGAGTTGTGTTTATTGAATAAATAAATGATGGGCGAATGAATGAATAAGTAAATGAACCTGGACACACACCAACAAAAACCAAGAACACCTGTTACGATCCTAGTCAGCTTCCATAGTATGGCCTTGTAGAAAACCTCCACTTCCCT